CCCCGTGTGAGGGGGAGGCTGTCTCCGAACTGCTGACACGCTCAGTGTCCATTTCCCATGGCTGAGCCCATGCTTCCTCACAGGCCGATGGCTGCTGCAGCCACACCCACACTGCCCACAGAACCCACACTGCCCCCAGTGCCCCCAGTGCCCACACTGCCCACACTGCCCACACTGCCCCCAGTGCCCACACTGTCCACACTGCCCACACTGCCCCCAGTGCCCCCAGTGCCCACACTGCCCACACTGCCCACACTGCCCCCAGTGCCCCCAGTGCCCACACTGCCCACACTGCCCACACTGCCCCCAGTGCCCCCAGTGCCCACACTGCCCCCATTGCCCACACTGCCCCCAGTGCCCACACTGCCCCGAGTGCCCACACTGCCCACACTGTCCATACTACCCACAAGGCCCCCAGTGCCCACACTGTCCACACTGCCCCCATTGCCCACACTGCCCCCAGTGCCCACACTGCCCCGAGTGCCCACACTGCCCACACTGCCCATACTACCCACAAGACCCCCAGTGCCCACACTGCCCAGACTGCCCACACTGCCTGCAGCACACTGGGAGGGCAGGCCGAACCAGCAGGACCATCACACTTGCTTCTCACACAGGCTTTGCTCAGAGATTGACCACAGCAGCTCAAGGCTGGCATGCAGCAGCCCCCAGGCGGGCGCTGACCCTCATCGCAGTCACTGCTGGTCAGCAGAGTGACATGTTTAAATACACGCTACAGGGCGGTGCGCCAGCTCCACGGCAGGCCATCACGTACACGCTCTCCTCCTTCATCAGCTTTCCGACGCGTGCCAGAGAAGCCGCAGAGTCTTCACGGTGTCTAAAAGCCGTGCCTTCCATGCCGTCTCAGCGGCACTCCGGGAGCTCCGTTCCGGTGCACATGTGGGCGGAGAGGAGACGGCGGTGAGCTCACATCAACCAAAAGGAGACGCTTTGATGATGAAGGTGTTCTCCTCTGGAGTCAGGCCTGTCTCCGTGACATTTCCTCTTCGGGTCTGGCGTTTGCACTGGCGTCGGCGGCCTCGGGCTTACTGTGGCTCCGGTGCCATCCGGGCCTGTGGATCGGCACCAGCTTCCCTCGCTGCCGCGGTGATAGAGGTTGGTCCAGAGCAGCCGTGCAGGTGGACCGAGCAGGACTCTCTCCCCTGCTCTGTGGCCCAGCACCCCCTTCAGTGACACGCTCAGCCCGAGACCCGACTGGGCTTCCCCACAGGAGGAGGTGACAGTGGCGTAAGGACCTGCAGGTCACAGCTCTGAACAAGGAGACCTCGGAAGGCGTCCCGATGCAGCCTGGGGAGCTGCAGCTGGGAAGAGGTGACTGAGGTCAAACAGAGTGTAAATCAAAAGGATTGCAGCCCTTGCTGGCTTGGCTCAATGGATAGAGCTCTGGCCTGTGAACTGAAGGGTCCTGGGTTCTATTCCTGGTCAGGGCACAAGACCAGGTTACAGTCTCGATCCCCATTTGGGGGCCATGCAGGAGGCAGCGGATCAATGATTTTCTCTCTCATCATTGATCTCTCTCTCTCTCTCTCTCTCTCTCTCTCTCTCTCTCTCTCTCTTCCTCTCTGTAATCAATAAAATTTAAAAAACAAACAAAACAGGATTGCATTGGCCCAAACAGCAGTTTCCAGGGGCACCTCTGGGTCTGCAACCAAGGCTGGCGCCACCACCACGGCGGGAAATCAGCAGCACCGGGCATTCCCAGGCTCTGCAGTTCCTGGCGCTTCTGTTCTAAACCTAGCAGAACACCCACTGCTTCCCCTGACGTGTGGACTTCACATTAATAAAACCTTCATAAGCAATCACCTGGATGAGAAGGCCAAGATAGGACACTACATCTTGCTGACGTAACACCTGGGGAAGGGTGCCAGGTGCCCAGGCCTCACTGTCTGTCAGCACCGAGGAGGAGCGGCTGGTCTGGGCTCTGAGTTCTGTTCGCTTTGTGAAAGGCCCCAATGAAACCCTCCCTGCGACATACCCCAACTGTGACCCCACAGGAGTGAGAGCCAACTGGGAGAAGGGGTGCGGGAGGCGGGCCTTTGCTCCCCTGTTCCCCTTTCTCCCCTCTGTTCCCCACCTCCCCCCCCCCCGCTCCCCAACGGATTTTGTTTTGTTTATTTATGTATTTATTTATTTATTTGTTTATTCATCTCCCCCACACACACACACACACACACACGGATTTTAAAGACAGAGAAGAGATGGCTGTCAGCAGTCTTGCCAGGGCATACTCACACCTCGAAAAGGAGGGAGGCAAAGCCAATGGCCTGGACATACTGGCTTTCCACACAATCAACAGCCCACTGAGGGGAAATGAGACAAAGCGCAGATGCAGTAGCCATCTCTATCACATGCTCTAGTCCTCCACAGACCCCGTGAGTCTTCTTCGTTATCACCTTTAATTTCACTTAACCAGAACTTGGAACAAACATGAAATGGCAGTTGTTTTGTTTTTATTTTGTTTTTAACATGTTTTATTGATTTTTACAGAAAGGAAGGGAGAGCGATAGAGAGCTAGAAACATCGATGAGAGAGAAACATCCATCAGCTGCCTCCTGCACACTTCCTACTGGGGATGTGCCCACAACCAAGGTACATGCTCTTGACTGGAATCGAACCCTGGACCCATCAGTCCGCAGGCCGACGCCTCATCCACTGAGCCAAACTGGTCAGGGCCGAAATGGTGGTTTTAAAGGCATGTGCTCAGTGCCCTCAGGACGAAGTGTGGGGACATTAAGACAGCCAAGCCCTGAAGGGCCCGCCCTCTGTGGCCGGCACCTCAGCCCCCTGAGCTCTCCTGAGCGGCTGGCAGAGATCAGCCTGGAGGGGGTGACCTGTCACCTTCCCCGAGGCGGGACGGATCCCTGGAGGTGGTGACCTGTGACCTTCCCTGTGCCAGGATGGATCCCTGGAGGTGGTGACCTGTGACCTTCCCTGTTCTGGGATGGATCCCTGGAGGTGGTGACCTGTGACCTTCCCTGTTCTGGGATGGATCCCTGGAGGTGGTGACCTGTGACCTTCCCTGTTCTGGGATGGATCCCTGGAGGTGGTGACCTGTGACCTTCCCTGTTCCGGGATGGATCCCTGGAGGGAGGGACCTGTGACCTTCCCCGTGACGGGACGGATCCCTGGAGGTGGTGACCTGTGACCTTCCCTGTGCTGGGACGGATCCATGGAGGGAGTGACTTGTCATCTTCCCCGTCACGGGACGGATCCCTGGAGGCCCCTGGGTGGGGATGGCCTTTGCTTCCTCACATTCCCCACAGGAGGACGAAGCACTCACTGAGAGCCTGGGTCCCGGCTCCTTGGATTCAGGGGTGGGGACGGGCTGTGAGGGGAGAGGAAGAGAGGAGCCAGATGACCCGGGTGGAACCCCCTCTGTGTCACCCCCTCCGTGTCACACGGACTCGGGAACAGTGTCCACCTGGAGGCCAGCTGCCCGTGCCGAAGGGGGACCTGCCTGGCCTGGAGCAGCAGCGCCCACCACCCCACGCAGCGCCAATGACGGAAGTTAATGAGAATCCCGCATCCCGGCCGTCACGTTGTCTGAGCTCCCCTGGACCTCGTTATTTGGTTCCTAGAACCCTGTGCATTGCTCCTTAACAGCAGTCCCTATTTCGGGGGGCTCCTCCCAGGGGTGCTGGGGAGGCAGCAGAGTCTGGACACGTTTGATTACGTGACAGAGAGGCAGTGCTGCCCCCTGTTCCACGGGGAGGCCACAGCGCAGGAGGCCACAGTCAGGATCATGGTGCTGGAGGCTGGGGGTGCAGGTGGCAGGGGCTCTGGAGGCTGGGGGCAGGAGGCTGGGGTGCTGAAGGCTGGGGAGCTGGAGGCTGGGATGCAGGAGGCTGGGGCACTGGAGGCTGGGTAACTGAAGGCTGGGGTGCAGGAGGCTGGGATGCAGGAGGCTGGGGAGCTGGAGGCTGGGGTGCTGGAGGCTGGGGCACCAGAGGCTGGGGGGCTGGAGGCTGGAGGTACTGGGGGATGGGGTGCAGGAGGCTGGGCCACTGGAGGCTGGGGTGCAGGAGGCTGGGGAGCTGGAGGCTGGGGGTGCTGAAGGCTGGGTAACTGAAGGCTGGGGTGCAGGAGGCTGGGGAGCTGGAGGCTGGGGGTGCTGAAGGCTGGGTAACTGAAGGCTGGGGTGCAGGAGGCTGGGATGCAGGAGGCTGGGGAGCTGGAGGCTGGGGCGCTGGAGGCTGGGGTGCAGGAGGCAGGGGCGCTGCCGTGGGCTCTGCGGGAGGGAAGACGGGTTGGCCCTACAAGACACGAGGGGATCTTCGGGCACGAGCAGGTGGGATGGGTCCGCAGACAGAAGCTGACTGAGAGTCCAGCCATCCTTACTGACCCTGCAGGCTCCTTGCTGGAGGCAGGAGGGGGAGCAGAGAGTGCCTGGTGGGGGAGGGGTGCGGGTCAAGTCAGATACGGAGGGTTCCCAGCTCCCAAGGTAGGGTGCAGTAAACAGACTCTCAGAATTGCTGCCCGAGCTGGGCTGTGGCCGGCCGGGAGGGCCCAGCGATCGCCTGCGGTGGCTCCCCAGGGCCCGGCGAGTGTACATCATGAAGAGGAAGCTCAGGGGCAGCAGTGACCACAGGGCGCAGGGGACGTCTGCTGGGAATGAGGATGGTGTCACTTGTAACTGGCGTGTTCTCTCACATGTGCTCACACTGACATGCACGCGGGACATCGGAAAGAATGTCTGGGAAGAGTCGATGTTTTAAAAAAAGAGAATGAGGTCTGGCGTCATGGAACCTCGGCCAAACAGCGAGTTCAAAGAGAAAGCCAAAGGCGAACTGAGTGTCATTCCCCGTTTGATCCCCATGAAGGACAGTGAGTGCTGGTTTGTGTGTAGGAAGTGCGAGCCAGTCGCTGCTGCTTTCTTTGGGAACGGAACTAGAGGAAGGCACACATTTTGTATGTTCTGCCGATGCCGTTTTTAAACATCACTGTAGACAGCATCACTGCATGTCAGACTCAAAGCCCTCGGGCCACGTGTGGCCCACAATGAATATCTTTGCAGCCCAGACAATGTAAGGGTTTGTAAGAAATGTTTTAATAAAAATTTCATAACTTAATTTTTACAATGTCCTGTTTTACATAATTATGAATAACAAACTACAGTGTTCCCTAATTACTCATTCCTATAACCATGCTGCCTTCACGTCCCTTATGCACCTTACACACAGGCGCACCATTTCTCTCCACTGACACCAGCAGCGAATATTCTAGCAGCTGGTGGCCACATCCTTGGTCTTGGACTGACTTGTTTGGTGTGTGCAACAGGAAATATTTCGCTTTCAGAGAACAAGAGAAATAGGTCTATTTGTGTTACTCTGATTAATTTGTGCAGTTATTCAGTGTCTGGTGAGTGAATGTTCAAGAAAAAAAGTAAAATATTATTAAAATGTTCTATTACTTCGTGTGAACGGTGACTCATTTATTCCAGCCCTCTGTTCAGCGCGTCTCTATCAGAATAAACCTCCCTTTCTATGAACACGGAAACGTTTGTTCTTTGCGGCCACACACTCAGACCTCGTGTACTGGGCCCGGGGGGCCTTTGGGTTGGCTGTGCTGGCTGCAGGAATTAGGAAAATCTATTTTTAAGGTGGAAAGGGGGCAGCAGAGCCCTACTCCCCTTCGCCCCGTCCCAGGAAGAGCAGGAGAGGGTCGGCCAGAAGGCAAAGGCCACTGACACTGGACTCTGAGGGGCGGCCTGGGCCCTGCCACCAGAGCGCCTGCCCCGGGCAGGGAGGGCTCACCAGCCTGTAGCCGGGCCTGGGCGGGGCTGGGCGGGCTTCCTCGGCCGAGGATGCAGGGAGCATTCGCAGGGAACAGAGGTGTCTGGAGGAAAGGGAACCGGGGAACCATCGACAGCAAGCACTTCCCGTGCCGGAAGCAAGGGCTTCAGACAGTGAGCACAGTCCACGGGCTTTAGGAGAACCTGCACCCACGGGTGCCGGAGCCCCGCCCCCAGGCTGGGCTGAGACTCCGCCTCCGCCCGCCCTAGCTCGCCCTGGAGCCTGCGCTGCCCCCTCCTCCGCTGTGTGACCTTGGGGAGGTGACCTAACCTCTCTGACATTTGGTTTCCTCGTCGGTGACTTGTGGGCAGTGGTAGCATCTGCTTCTCAGAGTTGTCAGGGGTTAGCAGCACCATACCTCTGCACCCTTCCCAGACCCGGAGACCACGCGTGGCTCACCCGCAGGAACCCGGCCATGTGCGGGATGGGAAAAGGAAAGACTAGGCCACCCCTGGTTCGGGTGTTGAGAAAAAACGTTAAGCTCTATTTAACAGGGAGGAGTATTCAATCCTACCGCTTAGAAAGCCGGCTAAGGGAGCCCGGATTTCTTTAAAAACATGTTTTTATTTTATTTCTTTTTTCTTTTCCTTTTTTAATTTATTTTTTAATTTAGTACATTTTTATTGTTCAGATTATTACAATTGTTCCTCTTTTTTCCCCCAATAGCTCCCCTCCATCTGGTTCCCATCCCACCCTCTTCCCTTACCCCCACCACTGTCCTCATCCATAGGCGTACGATTTGTGTCCAGTCTCTTCCTTCACCCCCACACCCTTTCCCCCTGAGAACTGTCAGTCCACTCCCTTTCTATGCCCCTGATTCTACTATATTCACCAGCTTATTCTGTACATCAGATTTTTAATTCACTTGATTTTTAGACTCACTTGTTGATAGTTATGTACTTGTTGTTCATAATTTTAATCTTTTTAAACTGAAGCTTTACTGTAACAAACCTGTTGGAGCTGCATTTGGTCAGTTAAGAGCAGACGTGTGCTTGTTTGTCTCACTTGCCTCCTCACCCGCCTCCATACAGTTCTGGCCCCGTCCGGAAAAAGCCAGAGGAGTTCCATGTCGCCAGGGCTGCTTGTAGGTGCCAGGGGCTGAGCCTCAGCCACTCCATTAGCCCCGGGGTCGGTGGAGAGCACAGCTCGGCCTGGCCACGGTTGTCCAGGGTCCCCTCGCCTCTGCAAGCCACTCCTCCATGGGCGTGCCCAGCTCTCCAGCCTGTGGGAGAGGCCCACAGACCGCCTCCTCCCGTGGATCCGAGTCATCCCACAGGGAGGGGTGGGACTGACCCCTTCCCCCGACTGGGCATTAACATGGTTCTGTTATTACAAACAATTTCTCTCAGAGCAGAACCTGTCCGAGCTGTCACTGACTATGGTCGTTTCGGGGTCTTGTCAGTACACAGATCGTATGTCTGTCACCCTGAGTCTCCCTGTTTATAGAAGCTGGAGGGACGACGTGGAGAATTGACTACGGACAAGGAATGGGTATGGGCTTGTTTGGATATTCATCCTGGCAGATTGCTTCCAAGAAGAGAGACGACAGATGTTTTTAAATTTCTGCTGAAAATTCACCAGGTTCTGACAATAATTCTGGACTCGAAGCAACACATTCATCCTGCCTCTTAGTTGTAAGATGGTTATGTGGGTTTGTTTGTTTGTTTGTTTTTAAATATATTTTTAATTGATTTTTTTTTACAGAGAGGAAGCGAGAGGGATAGTTAGAAACATAGATGAGAGAGAATCATCCATCAGCTGCCTTGCACACCTCCTACTGGGGATGTGCCCGCAACCAAGGTACATGTCCTTGACCGGAATCGAACCTGAAACCCTTGAGTCTGAAGGCTGACACCCTATCCACTGAGCCACACCGGTCTTGGCAGATGGTTATGTTTCGTAGGCGGTGCTGACAGAGTCTCACCGCCATAGCCACACCTGCCCGCCCTATCTCTGTGTCACTCCGAGTCCCCCCTCAGGACCTCGCTCCGCAGTCTGCAGGCCAGGGCAGCTCTGGCAACGGAGACTCACGTGCCCCTGGTCAGAACCTTCGGACTCCACCTTCCCAGCGAGTTCCTGCAGGCCCTCAGCTCTCCTGAGGCGCCTCCCTGTGGCATGGGCCGTGGTGAGAACATTCGCTCTTATTCCTATTCCCAGTGGGTCTTTCCTAGCACCAGCGGCCCCTCTGGTACAAGTCCCTCCCTCTCTCCCTGAGGGACGGCCGCGACCACCCCATCCTATTGGCATTCGGCCTGTGCCTGTGCCCCGGAGACCATGCCTGTGCCCGACGCCTCGGTCTCAGAGCCGCTGTTCATCGCCAGAGGCCTGCTGTTCTGTTTTCACTTTGAATATTTACAACATCTTTGAAGGAGCTCCGGGGGTGGATATGAAAAGCCATTCTGATTAACTTCCTCTCTGAACGTTGATTATGAAGTTTGTTCCTCAGAATTGAGGAGGAGGAAAGTAAACAAACAGAAATGAAGGGAATCCTCCCCAGACACACAGCCCACCGCTCCCAGGAACCGAGTGCCTATCACGGGAGACAATGTTAATTACTCATTTTTAAAACTCCTCACCAGGGACGTGTTTATTTACTTTGGAGAGAGAGGAAGGGAGAGAGAGGCAATGACTGGTTGCCTCCCTTAATTGCCCAGACTGACCCGGGACCAAACCCAGAACCTCCCGGCGTGGGGGACGCTGCTCCAACCAGCAGAGCCACCCCTGCAATGGTCAGAATCCCCAGGGAGGCTGGGTGTCGGGCAGAATCCCAAACCTTATGCAGTGGAGCCACATTGGCCCTCACAGGCCCCTCTGAGAGAGAAATGGGAGGACCATACCCTCCTCATCTCCTCTCTGCCCCCCTCCCACGACTCACCTCCCACAGAGCAGTGAAGCCCGGGTGAACCCGTTTGCTTTTCTGGCCGGAACTCTGGGAGAACAGGGCGTGGGTATGCAGAGCCCAGGCCCCACGGACCAGCCCACAGGACGGCTGAGCCCGCCAGCGTCCCTTCCCCAGAGCCCTCATGGAGGTGAGAAGGGGAACCCCTATTTTGTAAAACTGCTGTTTGGAATTCTCTGCTGCGGTTTTAGATGGCCTCTTATTCTAAAAAAGTAACTTTGCTTTCTAGCCTGTGTTAGCCTGCTTGAATAATGAGGCAGATAAACTTAGCCGTCTGACCTTGTAGACCAGAGACTAGATATGCCCATACTCTCAATGCCATGCCAGGTGCATTTTTTAATTGGATAGAACTGTGTTGTTTTCAAGGCCAGCAGCGAGATAACCATTGAGTGCCCATGGGGCTGGCTCTTCAATAAAAAGGGAAGCCTGTGTGTAGCCTTGCTTAGAATTTGAATCCATTTTCACTAAGCCCTCCGGTGAATGAAATGTGACTCCAAACTCTCTGGCATTTTGTGATTATTCTGGTTCTCTGTAACAGGGGGACACCCCAGGCCCAGCTCCCAGCCGGACTTCTCGGCGTCCCACCGTGTCACGCGGGAAGGGCGTGGCTTTGGAGGTGCCACAGATCTCTTTCTTCAAGGTCGATGCCGGTTAGGGTTTGGTTCTGCTTTGATGCCAGCCTGTGAGCAGAGACAGAGGTGCGCCCAGTTGAGGTGCCCTGGGTTTCTGGGGGGAACATGAACAGGGGCATAGGAATCGGGGTTCTGCTCTCACTGGGCCTGTTTCCTACTCTTTTTAAAAAGCAAACTCCACTGGGGCATGAATGAATGCCTGGATTTGCCCAGAACACGTAGCAAACCCATTGCAGTGGCTGGAGATGCCCACTCGGTGATACTGACTCGGCCTGGTTCCTGGCTAGCTGGGCATGGAGCATGCCCCCTCCAGTTCACCAAGTGGATTCAGTGCTTTGCTGGGAGAGAACATACGCGTGGCTGAAACCGGTTTGGCTCAGTGGATAGAGCATCGGCCTGTGGACCGAAAGGTCCCAGGTTCAATTCCGGTCAAGGGCATGTACCTTGGTTGTGGGCACATCCCCAGTTGGGGGAGTGCAGGAGGCAGCTGGTCGATGTTTCTATCTCATAGATGTTTCTAGCTCTCTCTCTCTCCTTTCCTCTCTGTAAAATAAATCAATAAAAAATATATTTTTTATAAAAGAATAAATGTGTAAGTCATGGGAAATGGTGGATTCCCTCCAAAGGCATCACGCTCAACTTTTAGGAGTGAACATCGCGGGGACCTGATCAGTTTTGAAGGTTTACTTTCAACCAACCAAGGGTCTGGGCGGGTCACACACATCCTTTATAGAAGGTGATTCCAGGGGTCGCTTCTGTGCTGCACAGGCACACGGGACACATTTTCATTTGGTCCCAATACGGACGAGTTGGATGGTCGGACGTGGGGAGAGGGGGCGTGAGGACCAGCACTCACACCCCCGGGGCCGAAGCCATCTGCCCCGCACAGAATGCATCTGTGCTCACCCCTGGGGAAGGTGGAGCCAGCACGTCGGGAACGAGGGAGCTGGGAAAGTTAAGCCTGTCTCCGCCAGGAGCTCA